GAATCCGATTGAGATTTTACGCCAACACCTAGCACATTGGGTGGGTGTTTTTCATGGTTAGCGGTAAGGAGATAGTATTCAACAAACAGATGATTTCGTATTGGTCAGTGTACAACTGTAATTAAGACAACCTTAGTGCATAATTTCGTGAAGCTTTAGTAATTTGCTGTGGTTTATCTGTTTTGTGTATACATATGCATAAAGGAAAACCAAGATTGTAAATGTTTTTTGCAAAGGCATCATAAATGGTATTAACTCTGTGATGTATATTGCCAGGTGTTAGTACTGTGTAGGATAACAGAAGGTTCAGTTTTGTCTTTTCCTTTGTGAAAGGAGCAGAAACACTTCTATCATAAGCATTACCCATTTTATATTTTTTCTCCGTAGTTTGCTAAAAAGAAGAAAAATATGCTGCTACCTGACCATTTTTAAACCTTGTCTGTATGTTCTATTTGAACATGGAAACATATTTTATCATAGTTATGGTGTGCTATTTGTTAATAGTATGCTACTCTTACATTTAGAACTAAAAAAAATGCAAAGATGACTCTACAACATTGAATTGGGTTTTAATAAAGGCAACCATTCTTTAGGTATGTAAATGTAGTATAAAAATAACTTAAAAGGAAGAGAATACTTCTGGCAGGCTCACTTTATTCAGCTACTCCTGAAATAGCTTGGTTTGCCAGAATCCACTCAAGTGGGTTTTTTGGTCAGTAATCTCTTGTGATGGCACGTAAAACATCACCTGTACCTCTTTTATCACTAATATTAAGGGAAAGGAGTAGATTTGTTCACTGGTGAACATGTTGCCATTGCAATTTTTAAAGTTTTAATTCATAGCTGTTTCCTAGCAGTTTATTTAAAAACCAAACCCCACCTTGTTGTTACAGAGGTTGACATGTCAGATGCAGTCTGGCTGTTTAATGACCCCACAGCCTTTATTCCAGTGCGGCTCTGATGTAATCCTCCTTCCCTTCTTTACAAAAGCAAACTTTATCTTAGATCTAATTTTCTGGAAAGAAAATTTATTTCTTTTTGTATCGGTTATAAAATGAAGTTGAACACTAGGGAAAATGTGTGTAAATAAGGAAAAATGAATGTATACCAGCTGCTCCCTTTCATTTCTGATAAGATTTCTGGAATTGATGTTGTTTTCTCTTTATGATGCAAGAATGTTAACATCTTGACCAGGAGGAACTCTTTTTCTCTCTAAGATATCTGAGCTTTCTGCAAATATTTGAAACACTTCGAATTTATGCACTGATCTCTGAACGTTCGCTGGGCTCTCACGGAGAGAGGTGAGGACAGACACCTCTTTGCTGTCATGGAATCCAGGTCACAGTAAGGACCTGACCTTACCACCACCACCACCTCCACCTTGCATCTGTAGCTGAAATGACTCCTCTGCTCTCTAGAAGGAAGTTGGAGCATGTCCTATTTTAAGGCCGTGCTTCAACCTACCGTACAGACAGTGACAGAAGATAATATGGCACAGATACTCTTCCTGAGTTTCAGACTTCCTTTTCCTTAATTCTTTACCTGTCCTTGCTCGAGGGAACATAGCAAAGCCAACCTCATTTGGGAGGGATCTCACACCCTCTGGGGTGATGAATCTCATGCCTCATGACAAAAGCTATGAAGGAGTCGGTTCCGTTCTTGTTGTGTTAATCAACGTCTCTGTAAACTAAGGACAGAGCATGAGTTTGCATAGTATCACACACTCATCTCTGCTGTTGAGTTACCGGTGTGCCCCACGCCGTGGTTTTGGCCGATCCCTGTGAGCACTCCCTGAGCCGCAGCCCAGGACGTGGATAAGGTGGCACGAGGGACTGAGCACCGGAGTGACAGAGATCGGAGTACCAGCATTGAGTAGGCAGGTTTAGCTGGATGGACACGAGCGTGCCACACCGCTCTCCAGGCCATGGAATAGTCCTGGCATGTTTTACTCATCACCGTACACATAGCTGCACAGTCCGCTCCACAGCCTCGGAAAGGGATTAGGAGAAGTTTCCTGAGGAAGAGATCATTTGAGTGGAAACATTTCTTTCACTTAGTACTCTAGTCCCTTCAGGAGTCCTTCTGACAACAGCAGAGCTGGCTAAAACCGATGTTCTCCATGTTCTCCATTAGACATTAGTCCATGCTCTCCATTAGATTCAACACCCAGCAGTCCTTCCGCATCACTACTGGAAATCACTACAACCCATACAAACGATAGCTTTTCGATGTGTCATCCCATCCTTGTAGTGTTAAGAAAAGTACTGCCTGCGATGATAACTGGGCTGAAAAACCTTTATCACTAGCACAATGTTTGGAAAGTTATCTCATATAGATTAAAAGGCCCACGGTGAACAGAAAACCCTCACTTCTGTGCTAGATACAGGAGTAACTTTACTATCTTTATAATAAAAAACTTAGTGTGCTCAGTACAAAATTTTTCATTTAAATGGATCCCACAAGTGCGATATATACGGTCTATGTGTGTCAGGAATGCAAGCGTTTATTTCATACAGACATACGATTGTATGAGGTTTGTAAATAAGCTTTGTAGTAAGATTTGTGCGCAGAGTGGAACTATTTTAAAAATCGAGGGGTCTGTTTCAAAATAAAGCTAAGTGGAGAAGGTCATATGAACTTTCCTTTGCGGAAGCGTGGAGTTTGCCAACCAGTACAGACCAGTTTCCAAGCTGCCATTTTGCCCTCGGTTATTTGCCGTGCCGGGTGCCAGTGCATGTGGCCCAGCTTCCTCCAGAGCGGGTGCCAGGCTCTGACTCTGCGGTTCAGGTGTGATCAAATCCCTTGTCTTGGGGCTTGCCCAAAGATCAGGAAAACTCTCTGCATATTCTGCCAAACCTTGCAGTTGTTCGAGTTTTAGCACATTATGGATCGAGCTGTTCATAGCATGAAAAAGTTGGACACAAGGGGATGCAAGATCATCTCAGCTCCTGGTTTTTCTCCTTAGAACCTGTGGCATTAAGCTTATTGTCTCTGACAGGGTTTTAGTGGATGGATAAGTATGCTATATAGCAAAGGTTTGTGGAGGGCTGAAAAACGGTTTACATGTGTTTGGACTCAAAGCCTGGTCTCTGGTAAAGTACACGCCACCTTTCATCGCCACCTTTCATTTCTGCATCACGGACACCATCCCCTTTCGTACAGCGCTTTGTCACCAGTGCACAAACGGGGAGGCCGACCCGCAGAAAGGCGGGAAGGTCCCTTGCCCAGTGTCACCTGCCGCGTCAGTAACAGCAGTGCTAGGAGAAACTACTCTTTGGAGTTCAAGCGGTGCTTGTTGGGGCTGTGGTCCCCACAGAGAGACCCCGGAGGCACCTGGTCATGGGAGCTCTAGCACCTCAGTGTTTTCATTGATGAGTTTGATCACCTGTCTATATGTGGCTCAGAAAAAAATTACCTCACATTGTTAATCAGGCATTGAGCATTTGGTCTGCGTGATGTTTGGTGCTAAACAGTGGGAGGACACTCCAGCCATTTGGGAGAGTCGTCCTTCTGCCACCTCTCCCTCCTCCTGTCAGCCGTTTCTGTCTGTCTTCACAACTTGTCTTTGCCTCTCTCTCCCCCCTTTTCTCTTTTTTCCTTTTTCCCATCTTCCCTTCAGCAGCTTCCAGTTGTCCACGCACTGTCAGGAGGTTTTACTTTTACCTTTCCTCTATTCCCTCCCTCATGTAAGGAAAAATGTAATTAACGCTGCCAGGCGAGGTGTCTCTTGGCTTTCCACTTCACACCTCCCCACACACACCCCACTAAAATTAATGGAGGGAAGTGGAAACCGGTATCTGTCATAACAGCGCTTCAGCTCTCTGTGGCCTCAAGGCGCGAGTGCCTGAACTAGTTGCAGGATGGGCCGAAATCCAGACTTGCTCACGCACCTTCACCCGCTGGGCATCATCGTGCCATGTCTC